CCAGGCTCTTCTGTCCATGGGAGTCTCCAGGCAAGAATACTGGAGTGGGTTGCTGTGCCCTTCTCCAGGAGATCTTCCCCATCCAGGGATCAAACCCATACATCTTACATCTCCTAAAATGGCAGGCGAGTTCTTTACCACAAGCTTCACGTGGGAAGCCCTTAAAGGAGTATATTCAATAATAAATGTCCAGCTCAAGGCTCTTAGCCAGTAGGCACTCAACAACTGTCATGAATGATTGACAGTATCGTCAAGTCTAGAGCCTAACTTCCCCCCAAGCCAGTACCGAGGCAGGCATCAAGGCCACACCGTCCTGTCCTCTGGGCTCAGTTCTCAGGCAGTCAGGAGCTCAGCTCCATCTGTCCCCTGTTCTGGATTCTTCTGATTACTTTCTCAGTCATATATTTCCTATGGCCAGATGCCTGAGCTGTTACTCTGGTACCTCCCCAACTAAGTATGAGGAGTGCATCTGTATCATGACCACAGTTCTTTGTTCTCTCTCACAGTGAAGGCAACCACAGGATGGACAGTCCTCACTAAATACTTAGGTTGGGTTAAAGCCTTTTCTTTACCCAGTTTCTAGGGAGCATGTTTCCAGCTCTTCCCTGACCACTGTCCACCCTCCACACCATTGTCTAGGGATCCTGCAAACCACTGATTTGACCATTTCACCTGCTGCCTTGAGTCAGGGGCAACAGGGCTTGGAGCTTGATGCTCGGTGTTGTCATTTCCCCTTGCCTGCAGGCCTCGGGTGTCAGGCTCCCCTGTCCATCCCAAACACTCAGGCACCTCAGAGCCACCTGCTCGTCTCCCATCTCTTCCCCTGATCCCTCGGCTTGCCCTGACCTTCTTCCTTAGGAAGGCTTCACTGATGTCCAAGGAGATTCAGCACCTCTTCATCTTGGGTCCCACAGCCTTCAGGAAGTCTCTTTTGATTTGACCTCAAGTGACTTCCTGTCCTGTGCCCTGGTAGGGACACTACACTGGGGTGGCCAGTGTGCGGGGTTTTGAGAACACAGCTGGCTGAGAGGATAATGGACCAAAGCAATAGATGGGCCACAGGCCAAGAAGGAAATTCTTGTACAACTTTCAGGAGGAATGATCATGTGGGTGTGAGTTCTGGGGTTGCTATTGGTCTCAGTCTTCCTATGGGACCCTTAGGGACTTGGCCAGGGCCCCTCGGAAGGTGGCAGCTGGGTGGATGGTGCTGGTTACACGTCAGCCTTGCAGAAGGAAGTAGAGGTGGGCCCCTGTGCAACCTGGTTTCACAGTCCAGGTATTGCCCCTGTGGCCTCTTGGTCAAACTGTAGCCTTTTCCCAACTCAAATGAGGAAAAGGAGATGTTCACGGTAGAAAAGAATTGGCAATACACATGATTACTGGCTACTAGCTAAGCCTGAAACCCTCCTTGTGCCTTCTTGACTCTGAAACTTTATATTTGCTCACATTTCAGACTGAAGTCCCCTCTCCCATCTTTGCAAATCCTCAGGATCTCAGGGTGAGCCTCCTGGAAGACCACAACATTTGAGCAAGAGGTGAGCTGAGCCCATCCAGGCATCAACTTCCAGAAGGATGGAGGAAATCAGGGCCCTTCACACGAGGCCCACACACTCTTTCCCCTTTTTCCTGGGTGCCTCTGTGTTCCCTCCCCACTGACTGGCTTGTCCTAGCAGAGGTATTCCATCTGCCCACGGGTGCATTGGGAAGGTAGAAACAGCCCTTCCAGCAGCTCCTCCCAGGTTTTGACACCTTGTATGTGCTTTGGGAAGTAAAGACACATGCTACTCAGTTATATCACCAACAGCAGACTCCAGCTGTGTGTTCAGGTACCAACTCTCCTTACCTGAGGTTCTCATTGCCTCAGCAGCACAGGCAGGATGGGGCAGCACAGAGCATGGGAGGCATCAATACTCTGACAGGAATGTCTACTGATTTGAAGCTACCAAGAGCTTAAAATGAAAGTGAAAGTCATTCAGTCATGTCTGACTCTTTCCAACACTATGGACTGTATAGTCCATGGAATTCTCCAGGCAAGAATACTGGAGTGGGTAGCCTTTCCCTTCTTCAAGGGATCTTCCCAACCCAGGGATTGAACCCAGATCAACCACATTGCAGGTGGATTCTTTACCAACTGAGCCACAAGAGAAGCCAAATACTGCAGTGAGTAGCATATCCCCTCTCCAGAGGATCTTCCTGACCCAGGGATCGAACCGGGATCTCCTGCATTGCAGGAAGATTCTCTACCAGTTGAGCTTCCAGGGAAGCCACTAAGAGCTTAACAAGCAGCTAAGAAAAAATCCTGACCTTTGAACAATTGGCTCTGGCAAGCCTGTATTACTGACACAAACGGAACAGAGCCCTCAGTTTCCCTGTAGGGTTTCCTTCCACAGTGAGGAGTGATGTAGAGTGAGACACATGAGGTTCCTTTCAGTTCCATCAGTTCAATTGCTCAGTCATGTTCAACTCTTTGCAATCCCACGGACTGCAGAACGCCAGACTTTTCTGTCCATCAACAACTCCCGAAGCTTGCTCAAACTCGTGTCCATTGAGTCAGTGATGACATCCAACCATCTCATCCTCTGTCGTCCCCTTCTCCTCCTGCCTTCCATCTTTCCCAGCATCAGAGTCTTCTCCAATGACTCAGTTCTTCAGGTCAGGTGGCCAAAGTATTTGATCAGCTTCAGCATCAGTCCTTCCAATGAATATGCAGGACTGATTTTCTTTAGGATGGACTGGTTGGATCTTCTTGCAGTACAAGGGACTTTCAAGAGTCTTCCTCAACACCACAGTGCAAAAGCATCAACTCTTTGGGGCTCAGCTTTCTTTATGGTCCAATCTCAAATTCATACATAACTACTGGAAAAAGCATAGCTTTGACTAGACGGACCTTTGTCAGCAAAGTAATGTCTCTGCTTTTTAATATGCTGTCTAGGTTTGTCATAACATCTCTTCCAAGGAGCAAGCATCTTTTAATTTCATGGCTGCAGTCACCATCTGCAGTGATTTTGGAGCCCAAGAAAATAAAGTCTGTCTCCATTTCCATTATTTCCCCAGTTAGTTGCCAGGAAGTGATGGGACTGGATGCCATGATCTCTGTTTTTTAAATGTTGAATTTTAAGCCAACTTTTTCACTCTCCTCTTTCACTTTCATCAAGAGGCTTTTTAGTTCCTCTTCACTTCCTGCCATAAGGGTGGTGTCATCTGCATATCTGAGGTTATTGGTATTTCTCCCAGCAATCTTGATTCCAGCTTGTGCCTCATCCAACATTGCATCCAGCATTTCTCATGATGTACTATGCATATAAAGTTAAATAAACAGGGTGACAATATACATCCTTGATGCACTCCTTTCCCAATTTGGAACCAGTCCATCATTCCACGTCCGGTCTTAACTGTTGCTTCTTGACCCGCATACAGATTTCTCAGGAGGCAGGTAGGGTGGTCTGGTATTCCCATCTCTTTCAGAATTTTCCACAGTTTGTTGTGGTCCACACAGTCAAAGGCTTTGGCGTAATCAATAAAGCAGAAGTAAATGTTTTTCTGGAACTCTCCTGCTTTTTCCATGATCCAACAGATGTTGACAATTTGATCTCTGGTTCCTCTGCCTTTTCTAAATCCAGCTTCAACATCTGGAAGTTCTCGGTTCACATACTGTTGAAGCCTCACTTGGAGAATTTTGAGAATTACTTTACTAGCATGTGAGATGAGTGCAGTTGTGTGGTAGTTTGAACATTCTTTGCCATTGCCTTTCTTTGGGATTGGAATAAAAACTGACCTTTTCCAGTCCTGAGGCCACTGCTGAGTTGTCCAAATTTTCTGGCATATTGAGTGCAGCATGTTAACACCATCATCTTTTAGGATTTGAAATAGCTCAACTGGATTTCTATCACCTCCACTAGCTTTGTTCGTAGTGATGTTCCCTAAGGCCCACTTGACTTCACATTCCGAGATGTCTGGCTCTAGGTAAGTGATCACACCATCCTGATTATCTGGGTGATGAAGATCTTTTTTGTATAGTTCCTCTGTGTATTCTTGCCACCTCTTCTTAAAATCTTCTGCTTGTTAGGTCCATACCATTTCTGTCCTTTATGGTGCCCATCTTTGCATGAAATGTTCCCTTGGTATCTCTAATTTTCTTGAAGAAATCTCTAGTCTTTTCCATTCTATTATTTTCCTCTAACCTTCCTGATTCAGCCCCACCTGTTCACCAAGAGGAGACAAGCCTGACAGGTAACAGAGTACATGCTCTGTGAGATCCTGCCCTCTGTCCCTCTCAGAGAAAGGAATCTATGTCTTGGTTCAGAATCTATGTCTTGACTCAGAAGCAGACCTAAGACAAGCATTTAGCAGAAGTAGTTTGTTTGGGAGGCAATTCCAGAAAGCTCGAGCAGGGATGTAGAGACATGAGACAGGGCAGGGCCTGAGTCAGAAGAGTACGTTCAATGAAGAGGTCATTGATGTGCATGGCTGAGACTAAAGCCAGCTGGGGACCTCAGACAGAGGTGTGACACATCTGGGAGTGGGATACCCAAGGAGGGAGAAAGAGGAGATGTTTTTCCATCAAGTTCCCCCAATGGTTAGTTGAAGATGCTCCCTGGATTCAAACTTCCCAGGGCTTCCATCTGCCCCAGAGCAAAGGTCAGCTAGAAAATGGGGAGTGGGCAGGACATGGGCAGTGTCTGGACATTGAGGCAAACAGTGATGTGATCTGTGTGTCACTCTGTGTGTCTCACACACTCATGGAGAAATCTCCAACCCCAATGAGTAGGATGCTTGTGTTTAATGGTGCAAATTTTTATATCATGTGATCCGTAAGCACAAACCTACCACTGAAATCTGGGACCAGGTAAAGAAACAGAGATGTGTCTCAACGCAACAAGAAAAGGCACCCCAAAAAGGGTGGGATTCTCTAGAGTTATGTTTGTCAAGAGCAGGTGGAACATTCTGGGTACTGAAACTTCAGGCTTAACCCTGAGACTGAACTGTGTCTCTGTGAGTGTTTAACAAGGTGGGAAGCCTGGCCCCTCACGGACTGTCAGCTCCGTGTGAACTGGACCAGCATTCCCACCAACACTGCACACACAGCAGGTCTCCATTCGTCTTACTGGATGTTGGAAGAGGAGGGCAGGGGCGGGTGAGGGGCTTGGGAGGGACCCGAGGGTGGAGACGCTGTCCTGGAGCTCCTGGGGCTGCTGCCTCCCCTGTGCCCTTCTGGAAGGAACAGGGGCCTCATGTTTCTCTGTGTTCACACATACATACACACACACATAGACAAACACGCAGACACACACAGAATCATAGACACACACGTACATAGACACACACACACAGAGGCACACACACACAGAGTAGGCCTCTGAGAGTTAAGGACTCAGTCTCAATAAGTGGGAAGAGGCAAGGAAGTAGAAATTAAAGCCTGGAGGAAGTTGTTTTCACAAGAATTTATTTTTTACCATCCAGAAGTCTAAGCCAAAACAAATCAGACCCTTAGGACTCTTCTGTGGACTCAGGATTCATCAAAATTCTTTAACGGGTATGATGGCAGCCAATCCTTCACCATTTCCCAGGAAACCTTGGAATGGGAGATGTCAGCAGGAAGGGATGTGGACTTAGCATTGGTCTTGGCCACAGCGCTAAACTTGACCTTGGCCTTCACAGTCATTATCACAATGGCTTTGGCCATGGCCTTTCCCTTGGGAGATGCTGACGCCGGGGACGAAGTCTCCTGACACTCTGAAGCCGTAAACCATGACAAAACGGATTTGTTGTGGGAACGGGCAAGGGTCAAGACAAGATCTCTCACTTCACACCAGAACAGCCCTCTAACTGGGATACCACGAGTGTTGGACCCTCTTCACCTTCTGACTGTTCTCTTTGAAGCACATGTTTGAATCCCTATATACAGACACTTGTGGAGAAACTGAGGTCCACAGACAACATGGGGCTTCGCAGGGCCACAAGCCCATCCTAGCAAAGCTGGATTAGAGCAGGGATGAAAGATCATTACGGACTTGAGTCAATGCCTCTCAACTTCAGCCCAGTCAGAATCCCCTGGGGGTCTTGTGAAAATACAATGGCTGGACCTCAACCCAGAGTCTGTTTCAGGAGCTCTTGGTGGGACCTGAGAACCTATCTCGTGTCAGTTCCTGGTTGGGGACCCCAGTAGAGGACCACTGCTCTAAGGGATGCAGAGCCAGGGCTGGAGACCTGGGGTTCGGGGGAACGAGGGGCCAGCGTAGGAGGGCCTGTCTCTGCCCTGGATGGGGCAGCGGGTCATTGGCCCAAAGGAAATTCCACAACCCACCTTGTTAGCATCTGCACAAAACAGAACGGGCCACTCACCTCATTACAGTTTAGGTCAAACTGGTCATTGGACTGGTCCAGGCTGACTGTCCCAACACACTTTTTCACCAGCTGGAAGGGAGCACAAGGTCAAACTGGAACCCCCAGGCCATAATCTCCCAGGCTCACCTCACCACCTACATGCTGGAAGCCTTCCCGAAGTTTCCTGTCCAACTCGCTCTGAGAAGCATTTATCCCAGCCCTCAGCCTCCAGCCCCCAAGCTCACCCCATTCTCCTTGAAGTCACACTGCTCCGGGGGCTGCAGGCTCGACCTGGGGCACACGGTGTCCTTCACCCTGAAGCTCACAGGCTTTCGAGCACTGTGGTCCTCCACCTGGTCAAAGATCAAAGTGGGGAGACTGGGCTCGGGCTCATGTTTCCTTCTCTGACCTGTCTCCCTGCCCCCACCCAGACGGCAGCCTCTCCAGCCCCCTGCGTGTCCGGCCCTGGGCTTGGTGCTGGGAGCCCAGGGGAGGGGACAGAGCCTGTCCCCGGCCTCACGGGCTCACAAGGAGCAGGAGCGGACCACACAGCAGCGCTGACGGCAGCGCCTCCCCGCAGAGGGGCTGAGGGAGGTCGGGGCCACCTGCAGGGAGAGCCCTTGTACCTGGAACCTCCAGGCTGACAGAGGCCTCCCTGGCAGGGAGACACCACGGTGCAGAGGGGCTTCAGCAGGGACGTCCCCTCACAGAGCCTGTGACCCCCTCCATCCCTGGAGCTCCCGGAAATCCTGGAAGCCAGTTGTGCAGGGTGCCTGATCCCACAGCAGAGATGCTAAGGCAGGAAGCCTGGGGCTGGGAGGGGACACAGGTCTGGGAAGGTTTTCTGGTAGAAGTGGGAGCCACCTAGAGGGAGAAGTGCCGTCCTGACAGGACATGCAGCCTGAGTGAAGGGGGTAACAGCGTGGACAATGCAGGCAGAAGAACGGCACCTCCCCAACTCACGTCCTTGGGAGGCGGGTCTAGCTCCAGGAGGCGGTAGAGATCAGCTTCTGAGGACTGCTCATTGAACTAATCCACAACACGAAGCACGGCCTCCCTGTAGCTGAGGGCCTGGGCACTGGTCAAAGACAGCACTAGTCCCAGCAGCAGTAGCCACAGTGACCACTGTCCCAGGGAGAGGCTGGCCCTCTGGGTCTCCGTGTCCCTAGTCAGTCTCCTCACAGCCCAAGGAACATCCTTTTATGCCCAGTCTGGACCTGATACAAAGGATAAACCAGGACTCTTTCTGACCCACCCCATCCCTGCCCTCCTCCCAGGGTGTGAGCTGGATTTGCCACAGTCCTTGTTGCTCCTCGTGGGGTTTCTGGGCAGTGGGCAGGGAGGACCCTGGGCAAGGTGAAGAAATGGTTTCTCCATCTCTCTTAATACCTTGGCCTCGCTGGGGCACATGGGAAGTGTCACAGGAAGGCTTGCTCAGGTGGGCTGTGCCCTCCAAGAGGGAAGGAGTAGACAGTGTCTACATCCCCTCTGACCTCCCTCCACTCCTGCCCAGCTCCTCCCCCAGTCTCCTTTCCTCTCAGTGAAGCCACAAGCCCCAGAGTTCAACTTCTTTGTGTTCCAGGCTCTTCCCTAACTACTGTCCACCTTACACACCATCGTCTAGGGCTCCCGCCAGCCACTGATGTGGCCACTGACCAGCTGCCTTGAGGCAGGGGCACCAGGGTCTGGATACTGATCCTCATCATTGTCCACACCCCAGCCCTGCAGTTCTCAGGTGTCAGGGTGCCCCACCCACCCCAACCACAGGCCACCTCAGAGCCTCCTGCTCTCCTCCCATCTCTGCACCTGATGCCTCTGTTTGACCTGCCTTTCACCTTGAGAAGCCCTCCCTGACCTGCAACCATACAAGGAAACTTCTCTTAGCTTGCAGAGACTTCAGGACATCCCTTCTGATTTGACCTCAGTGACTCCCTGCCCAGTGCTCCGGTTGGACACCGATGGGGGTGGGGGGCGGGGCCCACTGGGAGGACAAGAGAGCACAGCCGGGAGAAACAGTTTGCCCAAGAGACAGAGGAGTCCTGAGACCATGAAGCCCATTCTAATCCATCACCAGCAGGGAAGCACCATGTGCCCAGGAGGCCTGGGGTGGCTGTGCACTCTGTTGCCCTGTGGGACCCTTGGGGGCTTGGCCAGGCTGCCTTGGAAGGTGGCAGCCTGGATGGACGGTGCTGGATGCCCGCTCAGTCTGGGAGGAGGAAAGAAAGTTGGGCTTTGTGAAATCTGGTTACATAGCCCAGATATTACCTCAGAGGCACCTTGGTCAAGCTACATCATTTTCCCAAGTAAAAGGAGGAAAGGGAGATGATTGCAATAGAAAATAACTAGCAATACACATGGTTACTGGGTAACTGGAAACCCTGACACCCTCCCTGTGCTTTCCTGCCTGTGCACATTTGCCTTTGCTCAGACTTCAGACTGAAGTCCCCTCGCCCATCCTCTCTGGATGCAGTGGCGTGTCCTCTGCCAGGTTCAAGCTGCACCTCCTGTGATGCCAAGTGCGAGCCTTCCATGCCTCCAGGATCCTGGTTTAGTCCTCACCGCCTGTCAGAACAGAGCTCTTCTCAGGAGAGACACCATACCATTGTCTTCAGCCAGGTTGCCCCCGACTCCACAGCCAGTCTTTGGGAAATCCACATACACCTTTCACCCCCAACAAACTTGGGTAGGAGCCCTGATCTTGCATCACCCCCTCCTTTTCTCCTGCCAGCCACCCTTCCAGTCCCTGAGACTCTGGGGCAAGTGGAATGCAAACCCAGCTCTAAACAGTGCCCCAGAACTCTGGGAACACCCACCAGCTCTCTGTGTAGATCAGTTGACAAGGAAAATGAGACCCACAGGTAAATCTTTCAATCAAGGACACCACCAGTCACTAGGAAACGGCAGACCCAGTGGGGGACCCAATCCCTCCACTGACCCAGCATGCTGTCCACCAGTCGGGGACCAGTGGAGGGCAATTTGGCCCTCCCTCCTGCCCTCTGCAGGAAACAGGGAAGGTTCCAATGAGCTGTGAGGGTGGACTTGGGTGAGGGCTGAGCATCAGAACACTCTCTCTGCTCAGGGTCTACTTCCTCCTTCCCAATGACCACTTCAGGTGAAGCAAGAGATGGGAGGCTAAGTCCTCCTGGAAACTCCTCATCCAGGCTGGGATTTTCCAGGCACGGGGTTTGATGATGCAGATAAGCTGGTGGGAGGGCAGCACCATCCCACCTCCAGGAACTTGGGGGATGGGGTGCATAAAACCAACAGAGGCTGCACCAGCCACACCATAGCCGGAGTACTTAGAGGGCATCAGTATGACTGCTCTGAGCCAGCCTTAAGCCCAATCATTCCAAGGGCCTCAGATGAGCCAAGCTCAGGCTCCAAATCTCACCACCACCAAGCACAGCAAACCTCCTACCAGCTCCTCTCCGGGGGATCTGGGGCTGTGTGACAAGGTGACCTGGGCCCACCTTGGGGCTGAGCAGGAAGGTGCCTGAGCTTTGCAGAAGAGAACCAGGCTCAGGCCCAGCCCCAGGCAGTGAACAGACTGTGGGGCATGGGTACCATTCTTGTGAGTGGGTTTTTACTGGGGACATGGGTGTAGAGAGGGCAGCTGGGTCCCAGGCCAGACCTGTCAGCAGAGAGACTGAGTGGGTGTTCTCTCCCCAGACAGGACCCTGGATATCTTGGGTACATCAGGAAAGCATATCCTCTTTCATTCTTCTACCAGGACAAAGACTTGCAAACCCTCAAGATCTCAGGGTCAGCCTCCTGAGATCACGATCTTCAAGCAGGAAGTGAGCTGAGCCCATCCAGACATCAACTTTTGGAAGGATGGAGGATGACAGGGCCCTTCACATGAAGTGCACACACTCCTCCCTTTTTCCTGGGTGCCTCTGTGTTCCCTCTCAACTGACTGGCATGCCCTAGTGGATGTCTTCCATCTGTCCATGAGTGCCCTGGGAAGGTAGAAACAGCCCTTTCAGAAACAAAAGACCTATATATAGAAAACTATAAAACACCAATGAAAAAAATCAAAGATGACACAAATAGATGGAGAAATATACCACATTCACCGATCGGAAGAATCAATATAGTGAAAATGAGTACACTACCCAAAGCAATCTATAGGTTCAATGCAATCCCCATCAAGATACCAACGGTATTTTTCAGAGAACTAGAACAAATACTTTCACAATTTGTATGGAAATACAAAAAACCTCAAATAGCCAAAGCAATATTGAAAAAGAAGAATGGAACTGGAGGAATCAACCTCCCTGACTTCAGGCTATACTACAAAGTAACAGTCATCAAGGCAGTATGGTACTGGCACAAAGACAGAAACATAGATCAATGGAACAAAATAGAAAGCCCAGAGATAAATCCATGCACCTATGCATACCTTATCTTTGACAAAAAAGGCAAAAATATGCAATGGGAAAAGACAATCTCTTTAACAAGTGGTGCTGGAAAAACTGGTCAACCACTTGTAAAAGAATGAAACTAGAACTAGAACACTTTTGAACACCATACACAAAAATAAACTCAAAATGGATTAAAGATCTGAGTGTAAGACCAGAAACTATAAAACTCCTAGAGGAAAACATAGGCAAAACACTCTCTGACGTAAATTATACCAAGATCCTCTATGACCCAACTCCCAGATTAGTGGAAATAAAAGCAAAAATAAACAAATGGGACCTAATTAAACTTAAAAGCTTTTGCACAACGAAGGAAAGTATAGGCAAGGTGAAAAGACAGCCTTCAGAATGGGATAAAATAATAGCAAGTGAAGCAACTGACAAAGAATTAATCTCAAAAATATACAAGCAACTCCTGTAGCTCAATTCCAGAAAAATAAGTGACCCAATCAAAAAATGGGCCAAAGGACTAAACAGACATTTCTCCAAAGAAGACATACAGATGGCTAGCAAACATATGAAAAGATGCTCAATATCACTCATTATCAGAGAAATGCAAATCAAAACCACAATGAAATACCTTCTCACACCAGTCAGAATGGCTGCTATCAAAAAGTCTACAAACAGTAAATGCTGGAGAGGGTGTGGAGAAAAAGAAACCCTCTTACACTGTTGGTGGGAATGCAAACTAGGACAGCCACTATGGAGAACAGTGTGGAGATTCCTTTAAAAACTGGAAATAGAACTGCCATATGACCCAGCATTCCCACTGCTGGGCATATACACTGAGGAAACCAGAATTGAAAGAGACATGTGTACCCCAATGTTCATCACAGCACTGTTTACAATAGTCAGGACATGGAAGTAACCTAGATGTCCATCAGCAGACGAATGGATAAGAAAGCTGTGGTACATATACACAAAGGAATATTGCTCAGTTATTAAAAAGGATGCATTTGAATCTGTTTTAATGAGGTGGATGAAACTGGAGCCTATTACACAGAGTGAAGTAAAAAAATACCAATACAATATATTAACACACATATATATGGAATTTAGAAAGATGGTAATGATGACCCTATATGAAAGATAGTGAAAGAGATGTAAAGAACAGACTTTTGGACTCTATGGGAGAAGGTGGGGTGTGTTGATTTGAGAGAATAGCATTGAATCATATGTATTATCATATGTGAAATAGCTCGCCAGCCCAGATTGAATGCATGAGACAGGGTGCTCAGAGCTGGTGCACTAGGATGACCCTGAGGGATGGGATGGGGAGCAAGGTGGGAGGGAGGTTCAGGATGGGGAACACATGTACACCCATGGCTGATCATGTGAATGTATGGCAAAAACCATTACAATATTGTAAAGTAATTAGCCTCCAATTAAAATAAATAAAAATAAATAAAAAGAAAAAAAAACAGCCCTTCCTGTGGCTCTTCCCAGGTTTTGACATCTAGTGTGCACTTTGGAAAATAAGGACATCGCTACTCAGTTTCATCAACAATGGTGGACTCCAGTCAAGTGTTCTGGTACCAGCTCTCCTCTCTGCAGTTCTCATTGCCTCAGCAGTACATACAGGATCGGGTGGCATGGAGTTTGGGAGGCATCAACACGCTGGCAGGAACATTCACCATTTTGAAGCTACCAGGAGCTTAACAAGCAGCTAAAACAAAATCCTGACCATTTTACAATTGGTTCTGGCAAGGCTGTATCACTGGTACAGACACAACAGAGCCCTAAACTTCCCTGTAGGGTTCCCTCCCACAGTGAGGAGTGATGTAGAGTGAGATGCATGAACTTTCCTGAAATCAGCCCCGCCTACTCACCAAGAGGAGACAAACCTGACAGGTAACAAAGCACACCCTCTGTGAGATCCTGCCCGCTGTCCCTCTTCGAGAAAGGAATCTGTGTTTTAACCCGGAAACAGACCTAAGACAAGTATTAGTGGAAGTGGTTTATTTGGGAGGCAATTCCAAAAAGCTCTAGCAGGGATGTAGAGACGGGAGACAGGGCAGGGCCTGAGTCAGAAGAGTACATTCAATGAAGAGGTTACTGAAGTGCACAGAACCTCAGACAGAGGTGTGATATGTCTGGGAGTGGGCTACCCCAAGGACTAAGGAAGAGGAGGTGTTTTTCCATCAAGTCCCCTCAATGGTTAGTTGAAGCTGCTCCCTGGATTCAAACTCCCCAGTGCTTCCAGTATGCCCCAGGGCAAAGGTCAGCTAAAGAATGGGGAGTGGACAGGACACGAACAGTGTCTGAAACACCAGGGCAAACACATGTGATCTGTGTGTCACTCTGTGTCTCTCACCCTCATGCAGTGCTCTTCACCCCAGTGAGCAGGATGGTTGTATTGAATGGTGCAAATTGTTATACCATGTGATCCATAAGCACAAACCCACCACTGAAACCTGGGACCAGGTAAGGAAACAGAGATGTGTCTCAATGCAACAGGAAAAGGCAAAAGGAGTGGGCTTTTCCAGAGTTAAATTTGTCAAGGGCAGGTGGAACATTCTGGACAGTGAACTTTCCAGCTTAGCACTGAGACTGAACTGTGACTCTGTGAGTGTTTAATCAGGTGAGAAGCCTGGCCCCTCATGGACTGTCAGCTCCATGTGAGCTGGAGGAGCAGCCCCACCAGCACTGCACACACAGCAGGTCTCCGTACGTCCTGCTGGGTGTTGAAGGAGGGCGGGAGCGGGAGGAACCCGAGGATGGAGACACTGTCCTGGAGCTCCTGGGCCTGCTGCCTTCCCCCATGTCCTCCTGGAAGGAACAGGGGCCTCATGCTTCTCTGTGTTCACAGGAGTGATCTCACACACACACAGATACACACATGCGCATAGACACACACCTATACACAGACACACACAGACACACACACACAAAGGAGGCCTCTCAGACTTAAGGACTCAGTCTCAGTAAGTGTTTAGAGGTGAGAAAATTGAAACTGAGCATGGGGGAAAGTTGTTTTCACAAGAATTTATTTTTCACCATCTAGAAGTCTAAGGCAAACAAATCAGACCCTTAGGATCCTTCCGTGGAATCAGGATTCATTAAAATTCTTTAATGGGTGTGATGTCGACCAATCCTTCACTCTTTTCCAGGAAACCTTGGAATGGGAGTTGTCAGGGGGAATGGACGTGGACTCAGCATTGGTCTTGGCCGTAGTGCTAACCTTGACGTTGGCCTCCCCAATGATTATCACAATAGCACTGGAACTGGCCTTGGCCGTGGCCGTGGCCGTGGCCGTGGCCGTGGAAATGGCAATGGCCTTATAATTGGCCGTGACAAACGTCGGGTCCGGCGAAATCTCCTGACACTCTGAAGCTGTAAACCATGACAAAACAGATTTGTTGTGAGACCATGCAAGGGTCAAGACAAGATCCCTCACTTCACGCCTGAACAGCCTTCTAAGTGGGACACCACTAGTGTTGGACCCTGTTCACCCTCTGGCTGTTATCTTTGAAGCATATGATTGATTCCCTATATACAGCGACTTGTGGAGAAACTGAAGTCCACAGACAGCATGGGGCTTCCCAGGCTCACAAGCCCATCCTAGCAAAGCTGGATTAGAGCAGGGGATCAGAGATCATTACTAAGTCGGTTCCTCTCAACTTCAGCCCAGTCAGAATCCCCTGGAGGCCTTGTGAAAATACAAATGGTTGGACCCCCCGCCCCCAGGTCTGATTCAGGAGCTCTCAGACATGAGAATCTGTCTCATGTCAGTTCCCAGGTGGTGACCACATTAGAGAACCACTGCTCTAAGGGATGCAGAGCCAGGGCTGGAGACCTGGGGCTCAGGGGAGGGAGGGGCCGGGGTAGGAGGGCTTTCTTCTGCCCTGGATGGAGCAGCGGGTCATTGGTCCAAAACATGTTCCACACACTACCCCCTAGAATACCCCAATCAAGAAGGGGCCACTCACCTCATTACAGTTTAGGTCAAACTGGTCATTGGACTGGTCCAGGGTGATTGTCCCCACACACTGCTTCACCAGCTGGAAGGGGAGTTTCCAGGTCAAACTGGAACCCGCCAGGCCATAACCTCCCTGGCTCACCCTTCCTCCCAGCCCAGGGCTGGAGATCATCCCTGAAGGCCCCTGCTTAGCTCCCTAAGAAACATTTATCCCAGCCCTCAGCCTCCAGTCCCCAGGCTCACCCCATTCTCCTTGAAGTCACACTGCTCTGGGGGCTGCAGGCTCGACCTGGGGCACACGGTCTCCTTCACCCTGAAGCTCACAGGCTTTCGAGCACTGTGGTCCTCCACCTGCTCAAAGATGAAAGTGGGGAGACTGGACTCGGGCTCATGTTTCCTTCTCTGACCTGTCTCCCTGCCCCCACCCAGACGGCAGCCTTTCCAGCCCCCTGCGTGTCCGGCCCTGGGCTTGGTGCTGGGAACCCAGGGGAGGGGACAGAGCCCGTCCCCGGCCTCACGGGCTCACAGAGAGCAGGAGCGGACCGCACAGCAAGGCTGAGGGAGGTCAGGGCCGCCTGCAGGGAGAGCGCTTGTACCTGGAATCTCCAGGCTGCAGAGGTCTCCCTGGCAGGGAGACACCGCGGTGCAGAGGGGGCTTCAGCAGGGACGTCCCTTCACAGAGCCTGTGACCCCCTCCATCCCTGGAGCTCCCGGAAGTCCTGGGAGCCAGGTGTGCAGGGCGCCTGTTCCCATAGCAGAGATGCTAAGGCAGGAAGCCTGGGGCTGGCAGGGGACCCAGGTCTGGGAAGGTTTTCTGGAAGAGGTGGGAGCCCACCTAGAGGGCAAAGTGCCTTCCTGACAGGAGGTACAGCCTGAGTGAAGGGGGCAACAGTGTGGCCAAGGCAGGCAGGAGAAGGGCCCAACCACAGTCCCCTCCCCAACTCACGTCCTTGGGAGGCGAGTCTAGCTCCAGGAGGCGGTAGAGATTAGCTTCTGAGGACCACTCATTAAGCTGACCCACAGCACGAAGCACGGCCTCCCTGTAGCTGAGGGCCTGGGCCCTGGCTGAGCGCAGCACTAGTCCCAGCAGCAGTAGCCACAGTGACCACCGTCCCAGGGAGAGGCTAGGCCTCTGGGTCTCCATGGTCCTCAGTCTGCCTCCTCCCACCTGAGGGACCCTCCTTTTATTTTCAGCCTGGGCCTGATGCAAAGGTTCAACCAGGAACCTTCCCCATCCCTGCCCTCCTCCCAGGGTGTGAGCTGGATTTGCCACAGTCCTTGTTGTTGTTGCCTCATGGGGTTTCTGGGCAGTGGGCAGGGAAGAGCTGGGCAAGGTGAAGAAATGGTTTCTCCATCTCTCTTAATACCTTGGCCTCGCTGGGGCACATGGGAAGTGTCACAGGAAGGCTTGCTCAGGTGGGCTGTGCCCTCCAAGAGGGAAGGAGTAGACAGTGTCTACATCCCCTCTGACCTCCCTCCACTCCTGCCCAGCTCCTCCCCCAGTCTCCTTTCCTCTCAGTGAAGCCACAAGCCCCAGAGTTCAACTTCTTTGTGTTCCAGGCTCTTCCCTAACTACTGTCCACCTTCTACACCATCGTCTAGGGCTCCCGCCAGCCACTGATGTGGCCACTGACCAGCTGCCTTGAGGCAGGGGCACCAGGGTCTGGATACTGATCCTCATCATTGTCCACACCCCAGCCCTGCAGTTCTCAGGTGTCAGGGTGCTTCACCCACCCCAACCACAGGCCACCTCAGAGCCTCCTGCTCTCCTCCCATCTCTGCACCTGATGCCTCTGTTTGACCTGCCTTTCACCTTGAGAAGCCCTCCCTGACCTGCAACCATACAAGGAAACTTCTCTTAGCTTGCAGAGACTTCAGGACATCCCTTCTGATTTGACCTCAGTGACTCCCTGCCCAGTGCTCCGGTTGGACACCGATGGGGGTGGGGGGCGGGGCCCACTGGGAGGACAAGAGAGCACAGCTGGGAGAAACAGTGTGCCCAAGAGACAGAGGAGTCCTGAGACCATGAAGCCCATTCTAATCCATCACCAGCAGGGAAGCACCATGTGCCCAGGAGGCCTGGGGTGGCTGTGCACTCTGTTGCCCTGTGGGACCCTTGGGGGCTTGGCCAGGCTGCCTTGGAAGGTGGCAGCCTGGATGGACGGTGCTGGATGCCCGCTCAGTCTGGGAGGAGGAAAGAAAGTTGGGCTTTGTGAAATCTGGTTACACAGCCCAGATATTGCCTCAGAGGCACCTTGGTCAAGCTATATCATTTTCCCAAGTAAAAGGAGGAAAGGGAGATGATTGCAATAGAAAATAACTAGCAATACACATGGTTACTGGGTGACTGGAAACCCTGACACCCTCCCTGTGCTTTCCTGCCTGTGCACATTTGCCTTTGCTCAGACTTCAGTCTGAAGTCCCCTCGCCCATCCTCTCTGGATGCAGTGGCGTGTCCTCTGCCAGGTTCAAGCTGCACCTCCTGTGATGCCAAGTGCGAGCCTTCCATGCCTCCAGGATCCTGGTTTAGTCCTCACCGCCTGTCAGAACAGAGCTCTTCTCAGGAGAGACACCATACCATTGTCCTCAGCCAGGTTGCCCCCAACTCCACAGCCGGTCTTTGGAAAATCCACATACACTTTTCACCCCCAACAAACTTGGGTAGGAGCCCTGATCTTGCATCACCCCCTCCTTTTCTCCTGCCAGCCACCCTTCCAGTCCCTGAGACTCTGGGGCAAGTGGAATGCAAACCCAGCTCTAAATAGTGCCCCAGAACTCTGGGAACACCCACCAGCTCTCTGTGTAGATCAGTTGACAAGGAAAATGAGACCCACAGGTAAATCTTTCAATCAAGGACACCACCAGTCACTAGGAAACGGCAGACCCAGTGGGGGACCCAATCCCTCCACTGACCCAGCATGCTGTCCACCAGTCGGGGACCAGTGGAGGGCAATTTGGCCCTCCCTCCTGCCCTCTGCAGGAAACAGGGAAGGTTCCAATGAGCTGTGAGGGTGGACTTGGGTGAGGGCTGAGCATCAGAACACTCTCTCTGCTCAGGGTCTACTTCCTCCTTCCCAATGACCACTTCAGGTGAAGCAAGAGATGGGAGGCTAAGTCCCCCTGGAAACTCCTCATCCAGGCTGGGATTTCCCAGGCACAGAGTTTGATGAAGCAGGCCAACTGGCAGGGGGGCAGCACCATCCCACCTCCAGGAACTGGGGGGGTGGGGTGCATAAAACCAACAGAGGCTGCACTAGCCACACCATAGCCAGAGTACTTGGAGGGCATCAGGATGACTGCTCTGAGTCAGCCTTGAGCCCAATCATTCCAAGGGCCTCAGATGAGCCAAGCTCAGGCTCCAAATCTCACCACCACCAAGCACAGCAAACCTCTTACCAGCTCCTCTCCGGGGGATCTGGGGCTGTGTGACAAGGTGACCTGGGCCCGCCTTGGGGCTGAGCGGGAAGGTGCCTGAGCTTTGCAGAAGAGAACCAGGCTCAGGCCCAGTCCCAGGCAGTGAACAGACTGTGGGGCATGGGTACCATTCTTGTGAGTGGGTTTTTACTGGGGACATGGGTGTAGAGAGGGCAGCTGGGGTCCCTGGCCAGACCTATCAGCAAATAGACTGAGGGGATGTTCTCTCCCCAGACAGGACCCTGGATATCTTGGGTACATCAAGAAGGCAAATCCTCCCTCATTCTTATACCAGGACAAACATTTGCAAACCCTCAGGATCTCAGGGTCAGCCTCTGACCTTCAAGGAGACCACGGCCTTCAAGCAGGAAGTGAGCTGAACCTGTCTAGACATCAACTTCTGGGAGGATGGAGGAAGACAGGGCCCTTCACACGAAACCCACACATTCCTCCCCCTTTCCTGGGTGCCTCTGTGTTCCCTTCCCACTGACTGGCATGTTTAGTGGATGTCTTCCATCCGTCCATGAGTGCCCTGGGAAGGTAGAAACACTCCTCCAGCAGCTCCTCCCAGGTTTTGCCATCTACTATGCACTTTGAATACACAGAAGAATGCACAGAATACACAGAACTGTACAAAAAAGATCTTCACGACCCAGATAATCACAATGCTGTGATCACTGACCTAGAGTCAGACATTCTGGAATGTGAAGTCAAGTGGGCCTTAGAAAGCATCACTACGAACAAAGCTAGTGGATGTGATGGAATTCTAGTTGAGCTATTTCAAATTCTGAAAGATGATGCTGTGAAAGTGCTGCACTCAATATGCCAGCAAATTTGGAGAACTCAGCAGTGGCCACAGGACTGGAAAAGCTCAGTTTTCATTCCAATCCCTAAGAAAGGCAATCCCAAAGAATGCTCACACTATCGCACAATTGCACTCATCTCACACGCTAGTAAAATAAAGCTCAAAATTCTTCAAGCCAGGCTTCAGCAATACATG